TTATAATAGCTATTCAGATATTTAAAATATGGGTAGTATTAAAAAAGAATTTATTCTAACCAATAATTACTAAATTATATGATAAAATTTAATATTGAAATTAAAAACTGCTAATTTCAAGATCAAAATTTAATCGCTATTAAGTTTACAACTATAAAATTACCGAGGAGAAAAGAAATATATATGTTATTCAATTTATTTCTTCATTGAAGTTACTTTAGCTAATTTTATATCCGGTCCTTTGACAATGTATCCATTTTAATCCTAAAAGTGTGTGAATCGGGTTTAGGACCCGATTCACTCACGGGTAAAACAAACGCAATCAGATTATAATATATAAGCACCCAGACATATTTATATATATATACACACACAAAAAAAGAGACGAGACAGAGAACATCACCACGATCGTATAAAAAAAAAGAAAAAAAGGAATTGTGGGGGTGGGAGGGAAAGAAATCAACGCACACGTACATACATACATACACTATTAAAAGTGAATGCACTTTCCATACACATAGACAATTATAAATGCATGCACACACATCCACAGACATTGACCCAGACAATCGGATACAACAACCAATAAATATTTAAGACTGAAAGTGTCATGACATAAATGAAATATAACTTAAGCGAGCAAATATACAGAGATAAAAATGATGGGCCATCAAACGGAATCTTTAGAGTAAATTGCTGAGTGAAAAACTGACACCAATGCATCCCAAATAAGGGATGTTATACTCAACTGTGCCTTGTTTCTATTAATAGTTAAGCAGTTATCACCCCTTTTTTTTGTAGGACAGGGAGTAAGAAATGATTAGTCCAGCTGCACTTATGATGTGTGCCTGGTGGTGGTGGGGGGGCAGAAAACTGTTGTCCTCATCTTGTTATTATCAAAACATTTCACGCATCGAGCAGCAAGGCCCTTGATTCAGAGATTGGAGGTTTTGAGGAGCATGGGACCACCTGACTTGAGGTAGTAGCACCGGTTAGGGTTCCGACTATGGGCAAATGGTGAAATCCTAATCAAAAATCAGAACACAAGGAAAGTAGTATAATACATTTTTTTATAGTAAAATGACCAACAATACATTTTTTGATTTACAAATTACAGCTTGTTTGAAGTTACTATGCAAATCAAATAAACCTCAATAACTCAAAAAATTCTGAACCAATATTTGTCAAATTTAAACTCGTCCATCTCCACCCTTAGTAAAATATTTAACTACCATATTTGACAGCATATAAGACACGTGGATGTATAAGACCCACTCCAATTTTAGCAGGGCATATTAAGAAAAAAATTAGTAATTAGTCAAATTAGTAAACCTACATATGGCATATAAGATGCAGGGGAATTTTAAAAGATATTTTTAGTAAAAAAAAAAAAGAAAAAGTGTGCCTTATATGCTGTCAAATACTGTAAATTTTCTTCCATTTTTAATGATTAGTTTTGAGATAGTTGGAATTTACAGAAGTGGACTGAAGTTAATATGCAGATTAAACTAATATTAGCTTAAGACCTCTGAAATCTAATAAAAATTATTTTTTCTTTTTGTCCATAATATATGTTAAAATATGGGTAAAGGAAAGGATTTAACAACTGCTGAAAAATGGAAAATAACAAAGTTATTGAGTGAAGGAATATCCACATTGACGATATCAAAGGAGATTTGCTGAGGTCATCGAACAATAAAGAAGGCTATAAGTTAATTGAGAACTTGATACAAAAAAGACTTTAAGAACTTGCTTCCTTAAGATGAACATAAATAAAACTGAGTTATAGTGAAACAACCATTTTTGACAAGCACTCAAATCTTTGAAAAGGCTGGAATTGAGGGAGTCAGGAAGGACAAAAGTTGCAGAATACTTTTTGAATTGGAATCAATAAAAAAAAAAAAAAATCACCGAGGCAAACTCCTCTCACTAAAGCAAATATTTTCCAGCTTCAAAATTGGGCCAAGAAATGCATGAAAATTGACTTTTCTAAAATAATTTTCACAGATGAATCTCAAATGACATGTGATGGATCTGATGAATGTGCCAAAGGATGGATTTTATTCAATTCAGACATGCCTGTGGCTAAAAGAAAGCATCAAGGAGGCGGTAGTGTTATGATATGGACGAGAATTCTCGACCAAACCATTATTGGACTATTCAAAGTTGAAATAGTTAAACTGAACAGTGCTAACTATTGCAATTTTATGAACAAAACTTTCTTTGCATGGCACAAGTTCCAGTCTTGCAGTTTCAAAATGGAATGTGTATTTATGCACAACATAGACATTGATATGTCACTAAACAAAAACAACTGAAAACTATCATGTCTTGGGCAAGTAGAAAATGTATCAATTAATCAAATATTGATTAGTTAAACAGGCATGTCTTGTAGATTTATTTACATTCTCTGGAATATAGACATATAGAAACTGACCACAAAGTGAGGGATCAGTTTATATATTGATTACAATATAGAATTGATCCCCCATTTTATATCCACTTCATAATTTTTGTTTGTTTGTAAAATTCTGATGAGGTATGAATACACCTCTTCTCCCTAAAATATGGATTAATTAGTATGACGTGTATCACTAAACCATTATTGTCAAGATTTTTCTTAAAAAATGGTTCCTCTAATGCTTTTTTTAAATATGAATTCAGCTTTGTGTAAATCTAATCTAATTATTGTGCCACATGTCTGTGCAAGGGCCCCACCCCTGAAAAACAAAGAAGGAAAAAAAGAAACGTTAAAAAATATAGTTGTATGCAGTTATTATTGATGCAGTATTATAGTGGAACACACCTATTCTATAGTTAATAGACTCTCCCACCTATAATAAGTAGGAGTAGTAAGAGTAACATGGGAGTTGCTCAGTGAGTGAGTCAGTCAGTCGATGCCATACGACCGTTAGTTGAATACTAAAGTATCAGCAACCACAACTAGATTACTCTGCGTTATACCTATTATATCAAGTTCCTAACGTTTTGTCCGTTGAACCTATTTTAAGACCAACTTAGTACAAATACAAGCCTCCACTGTGAAATCACTCCATAACATGCAAGCAGTTTCAAACTTGACATTTGTAAATAAAAAAAAGTACAGATATCTCAGGGATCAATTTGACATTGCCCTACTTCTAAAAGGAGAATGTTTACAGCTATATCATGTTGAAATACTGATTCTTATACAATCATCAAGCAACGTTGGGCCAGATCAGTATGTAGATAGGGTGATCACTTGGAATTAGCAGGTGCTGTAAACTTGAATGTGTGGCTGGTGTAATGAATAATGTCTTGTGATTAGATATCAGAGAGCCAAGTTTCAATTCCAGTTGGGTTTGTTATATTCACCTATGTTCAAATACCTCTTCTCCCCCTCCTATGGATTAATTAGTTGGACTTGCATCAGTAAATCATTATTATCACAAAACTAATTCTTACAGTTGAAAAATATTCTTTTGGCTTGTATTGTTTTGACTGCAACTTGGAACTGACCTCGGTCCCTGAAGCAAAAAGAAGTACAAGAACGACTGATGAAAGATTGTAGAGAAGGGGTGAGAAACTATAGGCTGGTGATAACAGGATGAGACATTAGTGGCAGCCATAGATTGGACAGAGTAGAAACATTCTGTCAAGGCCTTATATGCCACAATGTGCCAGGCAGATAGATAATAGTTTTCATCTTATGAAGTTTTCTAACATCACCAGACATGGATATATAAATCCAGTGTTTCAGTTAAACTTATTAATATTTGAACCTGGTATTTCAGTCAAACTTATAGATATATTAGCTTTAAAGCTGCCCTATTGGATGTCATTTAATCTAGATCCTGTGGTGGGCTCTTGATTGACCCTTCAGCCCAACAATGACACTTCATGAATGGAGTACATATTAAATTTTATTGAACTTGAATAATATTTTTCAAGCAATTAACAGTTTTCATCAAAACAATGATATAATTATCCTATTTGGAACTTATGGCACAGCTGCATGATAAACAACACTTTTGGTTTTCCCATTCGGAATGAGTACAAATAGCTTGGTTCCATTACCGACACTAACATAACCAGCTGTGAGAAAAGCAGGGTTCCACTAGATGAAGTCCAGTTACTTTCGATGATTGACATTGAATAGCTCACTCTCACTGGAAACTGAAGTCTTTTGAACTCAGAAGGAAGATCTGAAGGAATTAAGGGGATTCTTAGAATTAAAACTCTTTCCTCTTGGACCAGTAAAGATCTCTGCTTCCAAGAGATGAGGAAGCAATTTCTTGACAATTAAACTTGTTCCATTACAAAGCTTTGGAGGATTCAGATTTCTCAATAGCATAACTGGCACATTTTCTTTTAGTTCTAGCTTGAGTGATGGCATTTCAGAAGGATTCAATGAGTTCAGGAACTCTATTGGATAATTGGCTGCCTGCTTTTGTTCAACTACAGTGTCAATGGAAAAAGTAGTTCATTCTTTCTTTTGGAATTTCTTGGAGAAGTTTACAGTTGAGCTATCAACAGTTTGATTCTTAGGTGCTAATATGGTGATCTGACAAAGCTTGTTTGAATCCATGAGATAGTGTTTAATGTTTGGATAAACATGGTTAATCAAGTCTTGGATACTTGAGACTGAAACCAGAACCATTTGAGAGTGAAATATTTCGATTTTGGACCATTTTGATGGTTCCATTGCTAAACTACACCAGCAATTATCAAGTTCATCTGTGATTCTAACTTTCATGTTTGTTTTCTGTCCGAGTTTTTCAGAGTGGTCTCCCTTTAATTGAAAAAGTATGATACATACAGACATTTTTGCATTCATTATATAAGATGAAGCCAGTGTTCTGGTTAAACTTGAATTGCTATATGAACTGGGTGTTTCAGTTAAACTTTTAGATATATGAACCTAGTGTTTCAATTAAACTTATTAACTTTTCAGCCAATCATTAGAAAAATAAAGAAACATTTTTTTTTAAATAAATTTATTCTTTGTTTTTTTATTTCAGGGGCTCTGCGATTGCCAAAATAACTGGGAATAATGTTCGAGACCGTTCAAATCAGTTTGAATCCCGAATAAACATGTATGTGTATGAGGAAGTACTAGATGGTAAGAAACTAACAGAAATTATAAACACAACCCATGAAAATATCAAGTACCTGCCAGGAATAAAGCTCCCTGAAAATGTGGTAAGTATTGACTGATGTCTTAAGGGACCTTTGAGGGTCATGTAACAGCCTATTGGTGAGGATAGACAATTGTTGGTTAGATCACAACAGAAGCAGACACAAGATGAAGCTGTGACTGCAGAGGGTGGTGCAACTGAAATGTGTCTTAAATAGCAACCTGACATACCACAGGCAGTACTGTGCCCATTTTGGGGAAGTTAAAAGTAAGATTCTTTATTTGTCCCCTTCACATATTGCTTGTTTTTTGTTTTTTTTATTGTATTTTAATTTCTCTGTGTGGAATAATTTGAGTTAGTGAGGTTGATGTAGATGCAATAAACTTCTAATAACCAAAAACAGTATTTAAAAAAAAGTGCTCAATAGAGAGTAGAGCGAATAATATTTATTTAAAAATTATTACATACATAAATTATAACTCATATGAAGATGAATATATATATATATATATATATATATATATAAATTATAACTCATATGAAGATGAATTACATATATATATATATAAATTATAACTCATATGAAGATGAATTACATATATATATATATATATATATATATATATATATATATATATATATATATAAATTATAACTCATGAAGATGAATTACATATATATATATATATATATAAATTATAACTCATATATATATATATATATATATATATATATAAATTATAACTCATGAAGATGAATTATATATATATATATATATATATATATATATATAAATTATAACTCATGAAGATATATATATATATATATATATATATATATATATATAAATTATAACTCATGAAGATGAATTATATATATATATATATATATATATATATATATATATATATATAAATATAACTCAATTACATATATATATATATAAATTATAATATATGAAGATATATATATATATATATATATATATATATAAATTATAACTCATATGAAGATGAATTATATATATATATATATATATATATATATATAAATATATATATTATATATATATATATATATATATATATATATATATAAATTATAACTCATATGAAATATATATATATATATATATATATATATATAAATTATAACTCATATGAAGATGAATTACATATATATATATATATATATATATATATATATAAATTATAACTCATATGAAGATGAATTACATATATATATATATATATATAAATTATAACTCATATGAAGATGAATTACATATATATATATATATATATATATATATATATATATATATATATTATAACTCATATGAAGATGAATTACATATATGTATGTATGTAATTCATCTTCATATGAGTTATTTTGTGTACTTCAGTGTTGTATATAAAATTTTTCATGTATAAGTTATTTTTGGAATTAATTTCTTTGGTTTATCTTCTTTCCATCATGTTAAGCTGTCAGTATATCATTGATATACTAATGCATGTAGTGAACCTTGGAGAGTGGAGAAGGTCAACATATTTCCTCTCTCTTCCCAAGCACCCTATTGCATCTATATAATAAATGCGAATGTCAGTGTGTCACTGTGTCACAGTTTTTCAACTTTACCCCCAGAGGCCGTAGCCCAACATGTCATAACATTTTGGAATCAGACTGACTCTGTGAGCAAATTAAAAACATTCCAGGCTGGATCCAGACTCTCAATCCTGATGTTTCGGATTCCCAAGTTTTCATTACTGCGATTGTATTTTTGTGATTTTTTTGTGATTTTTTTCTGATGTTTCTTTTGTACAATAACAATTTTTATAACTTGGAAATAAATTTAGGAATAATCAAAATTAATTGCAAAATCCAGTGAAAGTAACCTGTGAAATGAAAATAATCATTTGCACCAAAAGTAAGGACCTACCCAAATCAAATTATCTTTAAGTGGTGGCAGAAAAATTATCATCGAACTTTTAAAAGGTAAGCTTAAATATTAATGCTTTACATAAAGGCAATAATCAGTTTTGTGTTCTTTCGTAGTTTATTGTTGCCTATTGCATCTACTCCTCTGTACCTATTGTGAGGGAGGCCCAATCAAATGCTCTCTGTATGAGCTAGCTGACAACCTGATAGGGCCGCTTTTAAGCTAGTATATATGTTTTGGGTCCTTACCCATAATAACATAATGGACTATTCCATACATAAAAAATACTGCGCCTCAAGAGGAAGCAGGGAGTTCAGTCTGAAGCCAGGAGTGAGGTCCGTCAGAAATCCGTCAGGAGACTGTCAGTCAGAGCGAGTGAGTTAGTCAAGTCAAGAATCGAGTCAGAGGCAGTCCGAAACAGAGTCGCGTTCAGACAATTACTGCAAGACATTGGAATAGTGATACTGGTCGAGACTACATTGTTCTCTCTACTAAACCTGATTGTTCATACTAACACTTCTACTTCTCTGTATATATTCCTGTTTGTAATATATCTGTGTTATTCCATATCCGTGTTCGAGTTCTTTATTGGTTCTACCTTGGACCATCACCATGGTACAAGGACCTGGACCATAACAATATATATATATATATATATATATATATATATTTCAAAGTGTTTGACTCTGTAACCCCTTTCTCACAGATGAGATGTCGCAAGCCTCTTACTGCTGTTCTATCGCTATTTCCATGGTGACTGTTCAGATGAACTACACTCCTTAGTCATGAAGGTTAGAACTGGTGAAACTAAGTCTCGTCATTCCATGCACATTGTCAAAAACCACCGTCATTCTCTTTGTATTTGTCTAGTGAGATGTAAGGTCAACTCAAGCAGTTTCTTCCCATGAATCACTACCTTGTGAAACCGACTTTCAAGAGGCTACTTCCCTGATCACTACAATCTTAACCTGTTCATGTCCAGGATTATCCATCATCTTAGCCGCATAAGCCGTACCTCTTACTTTGTAACCCACTACCTTGAGTGGAACATCACTGAAAGAAAAGAAGCAAATTATTACAAGATAGAAAAATAAACACAAAAAGAAAAGAGTGCTGAACTTCTATGCAATCCCTGGTCTACTATATGGCAGTGAATGGTGGATAATTCTCTCACAGATGAAGAAGAGACTTGAAGCAACAGAGATGTGGTTTCCACAGAAGGATGCTGAGAATTTCAGAACATATTAGCAATGTGGAAGTTTTAAGGAAATTAGAAGCTAACTTTTGGTAGTAATCAGAAAGAGACAGCCGCAATTGGTGTGGCACATAATGTGGAATGAATGTCACAGGGAACATTGAAGGCAAGAGAAGGAGGGGAAAATAGTGAGCCACCCATTTAAAATGTCTGTGTGAATGGGTGGTAAAACAAAGACAAAGAGGGGTAGTAAAGGGTCAAAAGTTGCTTAGAAAAATGAAAGATAGGAAGTTGTGGAGAGCCATGATCACTTACTGAGTTTGAAAGAATGGATGACAAAATAAGGACAAAGAGGGAGGATAAAGGGTCAAAAGTTACTTAGAACAACAAAAACCAGGAAGTTGTGGGGAGCCATGATCAGTTAATGAGTTTGAAAGAATGGATGGCAGAACAAGGACAAAGAAGGATAAAGAGTCAAAAGTTACTTGGAACAATGAAAGATAGAAAGTTGTGGAGAACCATAAACACTTAATGAGATTGAAAGAATGGGTGGTAAAACAAAGTAAGACTTCCAGTTCTCTCATGATTGCTTCACTTTATAGGTTTAGTAAGTCTGGCGAGAAGACCCATCCTTGTCTTATGCCCCTTTCTATTTTATATATTTACTGAATTCATTTTCTATCCATATGCAAACAATTTGCAGCCAGTATAGGTTCTGGATTATTCTAATACCCTTCCTAAATAAATTAAACTGACCTTGCAGTTCACACAGACAAGTTTTTAGTGTGTGATATACAGATTGTTTACTGAAATTAGCTTAAACAAATTTTATTTGAAAAACTTGGACATTTTGTGATGAATAACAAATTTTTTTTTTCTCTACCAACAGAAATATTTAGCCTATTAGTGTAGAAAATTACGAGTGATAACAACATCCAAATATCTTTATATGTATTGGATTGAAATGATGACTGCAAAACATTTGTTGGGACCCTCACTCAGTTTTTTATTGATTGGAGAATGAAACCCACATTTTGTGTTTGGCCTCCCTTCTGCACCAAAACCTGGGAAAGGTTCATTGCACGTTCACAAGGAAATGAAAGGTAAAATTCACACCATGACAAGAAATGAAAACATGAATGATGTTTTCAATAATTTGATTATTTATTCACTGCCTGAGTTTCAAGTCAAACCTGGTATTTTCTCCCAAGGTATATAGTTGGCACATAGGGCTCTTCACCCACTTTTCTTACTTTTGCCAAGCAACTACTACAAATGTGACTGGTTGAATAGCTCCTCTCTCTTTACCCCTCTAACTGGGACTCCGCTCAAATAAGGCTGCTAGCAGAAGTTTGCAACCTCTGATTTGTTGAATCGTTCCCCAAAGGTTTCGTTCGTTTATTAGTTATATTATTCTCTTTTGGTCAAGTGGGTGGCTGCTTTTGAAGATGCCATTTTATAGCCTTTTTTGCATATTTACTGAATTGATTTTCTAGCTGTATGAAGGCAGTTTGCTTCCAGTATAAGTTCTAGATTATTCTAATATACCTCTTGAATAAATCAAGCTGAAATTAGGTAAAACAAATTTTATTTTAAAAACTGGCACATTTCATGATTAATGATTGCATTTGGTTTTCTATCAACAGAAATATTTGGCCTATTAGTGTAGAAAAGGATGAGTGCTAAATGTCATAGTGGTGGAGTTCTGGTAATGTCAGTGGGAAATGATAAACATAGACAAATCTTTGCTTATGTGCAGTGGATTGAAATGATGACTGTGTAAACATGCATTCGGGCACACCCTCAGCTTTTCATTGACTGGACAATTAAACCCCCACTTTGGCTACCCACCTGCTGATGAGTGCAAAAACTGGGAAAGGCCCGCTGCACGTTCACAAGGGAATGAAAGGTGAAATTGGCACCATGAAAAGAAAGGAAGACATGAATGATGTTTTCAATAATTTGGTTATTTAAGCACTACCCAAGTTTCAAGTCAGACATCGTATTTTCTCATGAGGTGTGTAGGTGGAACATAGATTCCTTCACCTGTTCTTCTTACTTGTACCAAGCAACTACTATCAATGTGACTAATTGGACAGACAGCTCCTCTCTCTCTACCTATCTAACCGGGACTCTGCCTAGCAGAAATTTTCAACTTCCAATTTGTTGAATTCCCAAAAGTTTTTATTTATTTATTATAAGTCTGAAGCGAAATGGAAACTATGTTTCTCATTGGCTAAAAATGATAACCACTGTTCTGAATGACTACTTGGAATAACAGTTAAAGACAAAATGGAATCTGCCTCTCTGATTGGTCAAAACACACCAATAAGCAGGAGAAGAAAAAAAGTAAACAACTCCTGATTGGTCAGAATTCCTACATAGAATTGAATAAAAGGATCTCATTTACATATGCAAATATTGTTTACAATATTGTTTACAATTCTTGCAATCATGTGAAAGATATTCCTGAATGCTAGTTGATAAATGATCGCTCTCAGCTGGGCTCATGAGAGAGAAAGTTTGATGTTATGGAGGCCCGAAATGTTCTATGACCCCGGAATAGATATCACTGAGGAAGCATTCTGGTGCCTGATATCTGTGTATAAAACAAACAGATATTTTATACTCTTTTAGTCAAGTAGGTGGCTGCTTTTGAAGGTGTCATTTCATAGACCTTATGTTGGCCATGAAACATGAGACACTCGGATACATCATTTAGTGTTCACACCCATACTAAAATATGGCCATGAATTTTCTCTTTCATATATATATAATCATTAGAGGAATATTTGTTTAATGAATCCTACCTGTGGTAGCATGGATAACAGAACTGTAAAGCTTAGAGGCAATGACCATTATTACGGGATTTTTAATATCATTTTTTGGATATACATTTGGGGAAAATTATGATTTTCAGCAAATCTTTTTTTCTTTTTTTTTTTTTATTTCCAGGTTGCTGTACCGGATGTTGTTGAGGCGACGGCTGATGCAGATATTTTGGTATTTGTTCTCCCACATCAATTTGTGAAAGGAATTTGCAAATCAATCAAAGGAAAAATTAAACCTGATGCATTTGCTGTATCTTTAATCAAGGTGAATTTTTTAAACATTTCTTATTCGAATTTCAATAAACAAAGTGTTTTAACAATTGGGTATGTTTTCTACTTTCAGATTAATTTTGTTCATTTTCTTTTTGCCATGTTTTAACTGTATATACCCATCAACCTTCAGAATATAATTCGAATAAATGTTATATTGACTGATTGAATTTTTTTAATCATTTCACCCCAAGCAAAACAATAAAGCCACTAAGATTCAAAGGGTTACTGATATATATATATATATATATATATATATATATATATATATATATAAAAAAAAAAAACATTATTAAGGAGAGAGAACAATAAAAGAACAAGAATTAAAACAGAAGATAATGATCGACATTTTATTTAAATTTTTGAGGCTCAAAATGAATGATTCATTTTTTATGGATTATCAACCCTCTTTTGCAGGTTTTAAATAACCTGCAAAGGGGGGTTGATAATCAGAAAATATTTTTAGATTGTAAGAATTTTCTTTTCAGATAATAATGATTTAGTGATACAAGTGATATAAAGTTGGGGATCATTCTATATTGCAATCATTATATAAACTGATCTCTCACTTTATGTCGGCGCTAGTTTCTATGTATTTATATTACAAACAATGTAAATGACTCTAAAAAAACATGCCTGTGGAGCTAATCATTATTTGATTGATTGATTTGTTTTCTACGGCTTATCGATTCTTTACAGGTTATTTAAAGTCAGAATATATTTTTAGATTGCAAGAATTTTCTTTTCAGATGATAATGATTTAGTGATACAAGTGATATAAAGTGGGGGATCATTCTATATTGCAATCATTATATAAACTGATCCCTCACTTTATGTCCACACCAGTTTGATTGATTCATTCATTTTCTATGGCTTATCGGTTCTTTCCAGGTTATTTAAAGCCAGAAAATAATTTTTGATTGTAAGATTTTTTTTTTTTGAGATAATAATGGTTTAGTGATACAAATCTGATAAATTAACCCATAGCTGGGGTAGAGAACGGGTGGATCCATACCTTTTCCCAAGGGTATTTTGGGTATTTTGTTTCTTTTTTTTAAAAAATGTATAGCTGGTAATATTTTTTTTCAAAAACGTATTGCTAATATTTTTACTATAAAAATCTATTTTTATACTTTCATAATATTTTGACCCCTTTTGGAGGGGGGTTAACTATTTGCCCATAGCTGGGACCCTAACAGGTGCTACCACCCCGGATCAGGGTGGACCTGGGAACAACATTAATCAAGAGGTGGTTCCATGCTCCTCGAAAACTCCTGATCAGAGGCTTGCTATGAGATGCAGTTTAGCATCATACCCAGGATGTATAAATATATATATATATATATGTATACATATATATATATATATATATATTACATATACAAGTATAGGATTGGTGTATACGGAATAAATTCCAATAACCAACAATTACTATTCTTAAAAGAGTGCTCAATACAGAGTAGACCAAATATAATTATTTATTTGAAAATTATAACATAAATATGTTATAAAATCACTACAAAAATAGCCATTTTGTTAACACTATCGCTTGATAAGACACCACAATTGTTTGAAACAAATGGCTATTTTTGTGGTAATTTTATAACATATTTATGTTATAATTTTCAAATAAATAATTTATATATATATATATATATATATATATATATATATATATATATATATATATAGGATTAATACAAATAAAATTTGTCACTTAGCTGACTGATGTTATATTCAGCACCTCAACTATAGAGTTTTGTAAATTCGCTTTTTTAATCCCCTCTTCAGAAAGTTTTGGCAATATATTAGAACACAAAGAGATTGTTTTAATTCAGATATTATTTTACAGAAGAGAAGGAGAATAATTTGTGCAATGAAAACAACCTGCAAATGACAAAGATAACAAGAGTATATGTTGTCAAATATGATAAAGTAAACCACAAAATTTTTCTCATTATCTTTCATTTTATTGGCTGACATGAATGTGACTAAATTTATTTACAGGGCTTTGATACTTGTGAAGGTGGAATTAAGTTGTTGTCAGATGTCATTTCTGAGCATTTAGGCATCGAATGTGCTGTCCTGATGGGAGCAAACTTGGCTCATGAAGTTGCATCAGAAGCTTTTTGCGAATCTACCATTGGTAGGTAGGCTTTTACTTTCTGCTACCATTATTAACTGTTCTGGTAAACTCTTCTACAGTAGAATGAACTCTTTCTCCTCTTTTAAATACTAACTGCAAGAGTCGTTGAGGAGTTGGTTGGGGAGTGCAGACGCAGTGTTGACCTATCGTTCAGACGGACACCTCTATCTGCTTATTACTAACACTCTTGCTTTGTATATATCTGTCATTTCACAACACTTGTTCAACCTACCTTCATCTTCCATGTCTTTCTTTCTGGCCTCTAAACAGGCCACAACATTAACAACCTCATTTTTCCATATTTAAAGGCAGCAGGTAAGGGGCCGCTGAAAACTTCTCAGTCTGAACCACTTTCCAGAATTTGACTGGATGACCAAACATCACAATGATTCTGGAAGCCCTTCATGGTTGGACCAAGAACTTTTCAGCAGAACTATGCATATGCACTGTGCCTTATAGATGTTCCAAAGGTTGTCGTAGCCGGGGGTGACAGTGGGGACAGACTTCCACTGTTTATAAAATGCTTCCATGTGTCTCAAATAGGCTCTAACAATTAAGTCTGGCTCTAAGCTGGAGAATAGATGAATGCATAAAACTGACACCTCTTAACCATATGTTTTGGATAGATGGCGTTTGACAACCCAGGAAAGCAGTCCATCTAGGGTAGTGATTCTCATCCACCATGCCATGGCATACTAGTGTGCCATGAAATATTGTCATTGCATACATATATATATGTGTGTGTGAAGTGTGCGTGAGAGAGAGAGAGAGCACAGCATTAGTATTTGAATAAATGAATAAGTATTAAACTTTTTATCCCGCATTAGCTGAGAAGGTTTTATCAGTTTTATTGCAATTTTCTACTTCTTATTTATATGAATTAGGCTTCTCAACCCTAAATACCATAAAAAATAAAAGCAGGAAAGACTACACTCAACTGAAGAAGAAATGAGGGTCTACTTATCGCACATTTAATCAAACATGGAAGAAATCATGAAAAAACACCAGGCACAGGTTGCACACTAAATAAGCTGCACAAATAGTTGAATAAAAACATTGAAATAAAGTAAGTTCATATTTGTGTTGGTACTTTTTTAAATCCATGATTTTATTTCATAATCTTTAAATGTATAAACTTTAAAAATTTGGCTAAGTGGGCCGTGGTATTTACATTTGCTCCTAGGTGTGCCATTGCTTAAAAAGGTTGAGAAACACTGATCTAAGGTCATAAACTTATTTATTAGATTTAAAAGAAATGCCCTGCTAATCAAAAATCCATGTTCAATAAGAATGATAGATTTTACATAAGAGAAACAAAACAAAAATAAATAAAAGGCAAGTAAGAAATATAGTAGTAAGATGTAGGAAGCCACAATTTTGTAGGAATTTTCCACTGAAATCCCCGGCTAATTCCATAGACAGTGGAGGCCTAAACGAGGATGCAAGGCTTCTCACTGCAGCCACAGCTGCAGAGAGAAGCACAACCAGTGACGACATTAGACTTTGTCACTAACAGTGAAGCTGTGTGAGAGGCAGGTGGTGCATGTCTGACAATTTTCAAAGAAAGAAATAGTTTCAACTTTACCCTTCTATTTAAATGCCATTTGAGAAAAAGACAGATATAGTGGGGTAGGAGAAAAATAAGAAAGTGATAACATATGTACAATGAGTGTTTTTATTATTATTAATATATATATATATATATATATATATAAATATATATATAAGAAAAATTTTTTACCTCATGAGATAAAAAGATTTTTCTTGATTTTTATCTATTGCCCTGTAAAAAAAACAAAAAAAACACCAGGTACTTGTTTTGCTACACAAATAGTTGAATAAAAACATTGAAATAAAGTAAGTTCATATTTTTGTAGGTATTTTTTTAAATCCATGATTTTATTTCATAATCTTTAAATGTATACACTTTAAAAATTTGGCTAAGTGGGCCGTGGTATTTACATTTGCTCCTAGGTGTGCCATTGCTTAAAAAGGTTGAGAAACACTGACCTAGAGGAAGAAAAACTACCTTGTAGTCATATCTAAACGTGTAAAAAAACATAGATAAATGATGGCATGCAAATGCTTACTAGATGCATTTCTGCTGACCAAATTCACATCACTACATTGTGTTGTGTATTTGTTCATGTGATTCTGCTCATGTTCTGTCTTCCTTTAATCATGTCATGTTACCAAATATGAACAACATGTCCTTTAATTGTGTCATCCATCACCTTTTCTGTTTAAACTTGCTTCTTTGTTATTAATCTGTTTCTTTCTCCATTGTTTTTCTACATGGGTAAAAACAGGAATTATTCAAGACATTTATTTCGAACAGATCATTTTTTTTTGTCTTTATTTTTTTTTAATATCCAGGTGCTAAGAATAAGGAAACAGGAATGGTGTTAAAAAACCTTTTTGATGCTGATTACTTCCGTTGCTCTGTTGTCAGTGATGCTCACACTGTCGAGGCATGTGGAGCCTTAAAAGTAAGTATTTTTTGTCATCACTCCATTTTCTTTGCTTAATAGAATAAATTCAAGGAAAATAACAAGCCTCATATTAATCTACAGGCATTTGAATTCAAATGAATTACACAGATTCAACAGACAAGATAAACACAGGTAAAATACAATGATGCCATAAAATGGATGCTTTTTCATTTTCTTCTGTACTGAAATTTAATACAAACAGCAGATATATTGGTTACATAACTACTACATTATCATGCCAATTAACCTGACAATAATTTAAATTGTGTATCATCAATTGACACAACAGCAAAGTACAAGGAATCCAACAATTCCTTAGCAGTAAAGCAAGCTATGAGAGTAAGTCAAAAATTATTCGCACTTTCACCATAACATATATTTAGGTTTATTGTACTGCCTTCTGCTCATGTTTGCTTATAGAGGTTACTATTGAGGTCATGTGATCAAAGTTTGAGCTTTATTGCGCCAGTTTTCTTGCTATTGCACCAAAGAGGAACAAAGAGCAATGAATGTTGGACAATCTCATCATGCCTTTCAGAAAAAAAGTAGAGTATTAAGAGATAGGCAAATGTCTATAGAAACAAAGACAAGAGTGTTCAACTACTGTATGACATCTCATCTTCTATATGGAAGTGGATACTGGACAATTTCCTCACAGATGAAGAAGAGGCATAACACAACAAAAATATTGATAATAATATCATGGACAAAAAATGTGAGCAATGAGGATGTCTTAAGTAAAATAGGAACTACAAGTAAACTTATACTTACAATCAAAATGGGACATTTGAAATTTCTAGAACATTCAATGAGGAAAGAGGGCCTAGAGAATTTAACACTCACAAGAAATACTGAAGTCAAAAGAAGCAAGTAGAAAAATGTACTTAAGTTTGTGTGAATGAATGACAGAATAGAGGCAAAAAGATATGGCAAAGAGTCAAAAGTTATTTAGAGCAACAAAAGATAGAAAGTTGTGGAGAGCCATCATTGCTTAGGTCCTGAAAAGACATGGTACATAAAAAAAAAACCTTAAAAGTTATCATTTCTTCATTTTTCCCCTGTCCCAATCAATAAATTCTATTAAAAATATAAGTTATCTCCCTTTGGTAGATAACTCCAGCTGATCGTAAGATGAGTCTATTATAATGATAATGGGTATGACCCAAAATTAGGCATGAAATAGAAATTGAGTGCCAACTTGAGACACTGAAACGACCACAAACAGATGAGACGTGTCTTCAGCCCACTCCAAGAACAAGCGAAGTGAGCAACAAGCTAACCTGAATGACGCAAGGATAATGCAGCGATCGAAAGAAGAATGAATAGTATGCAGATAAATCTTCAATCAATTTCATGCAGACACATGCATTTGGATATTGTCCCTGATGTCATGACTTTTAACTGCTAAAACAATACATTTTTAGCAATATCTGTATATTTCTGAGATGAGGTATTACGTACATTATTTACATTATTCGGACTATTGTCCTCATTTTTGTTGCCATATTTATCACAACATTTTGGCCGTTGTATGCTCCGGCCTTCTTCAGGTGGTTGGAATGTTGAACCGAACCCTTTATTTCACTCACTTATCACCTTTATCCACTGTGCCATGTGTCCTCAAGGACACATGGCACAGTGGATAATGTCGTTGGTTAGATCCAGTGACAAGACCCATAGAGTGTGAGTTCAATACCAGGTTAAGGCAGCGGAGAACTATCAGAGGGAAAATTAACAGGAGATAACTGATAACTGACATCCATTAAACATGGCACGTGGAACTAGATCAGTCTACCCCAGTGAGCGAAATAAAGGGTTCGGTTCGACATGCCAACCACCTGAAGAAGACAAGAGCGTACAACGGCTGAAACGTTGTGATAAATATGGCGACAAAGATGAGGACAATAGTCCGAATAATGTAAATAATGTACATTTTTAGCAATCCTCTATTCTCTTCTCGTGTAATGTATTTCTTATATATAAAGTGTCTGTTTTAAACGCTTCTATTGTCTCAACTTTGTTCATCAAGCCACAAGTCAGCTTGAGGAATCGTTAGATTTCCCATAATTCTGTGATGGTCAAACTCAATTTTTCTGTTTTGCAATTCTTTTATTAAATATTTTGTCAATTTATTTTTATTCTTTTATCACTCTCACTTTTCCTTCAGGACATGACTCTCCATGACTTCTTGTCCTGTAACTCTCAGTAAACTGTTCTTTTTACTATCTCTCCTAATCCCTGTTCTGTCAACCAACTCATTAGGAAAGGTTTTCCTCTGTCCCTCTTGTCTTCAATATATCCTGTGAGTGTCAGATTTTCCGAGCCCTCTTTTCTTATTATGTGATCAAGAAATTGCAACTATTTCTTTCTGGTGTTAAGTATAAATGTACTTTTTGTTTTTTCACTAAAATTTTGTCATTGCTCACATGTTTAGTCCATGGTATTCTCAGTATCCTTCTGTAGAACCAGATTTCTGTTGCCTCAAGTTTTTTCTTCATCTGTGAGGAGATTGTCCAGCATTCACTGCCCTATAGGAGGGCCAACATTATATAATAGTTCAGTACTCTTTTCTCTGTTTCTAATGGAAAATTTTTTGTTTCTTAATATGTTGCTTAGCTTTTGGAAGGCACTTTTTGCTGTCCCTATCTACCTTTGGATTTTGGTGTTGCATTTTCTGTCTTCTATTAAAATAATACTTGGATATTTAAATTTTTGTACTGGTTTGATTTTGGTATCTCCAATTTGTAAGTCACATGTTGGACCATTCTATAGCTTTCATTGTGCCAAGGGCAGACAACCAAACATGTTCTTTGATCATAAACTCAAGAGTGATCACAGATTGCAAAAGCTTTGCAAAATATATCTGTTTTAACAATAAATTATCCATTGGTATTACAAGTCTTTATTCTTTTTAATAAACATTATTTATTTATTAGATTGTTTATTTACACTATTTATTATACTGTTTATAGGAATGGTTGGCAAAACATTGGCTAACTGCCAATTGATTTGAACTTCATAAAATAGTAAATAATAAGGATTTTCTTATAGTTGGTATTTTAATATATTTTAATAATTTAGTAAATGTTTATAAATTTATGAATAAAAAAATTGTTTTAATATTTATTTCTATTTGCACTATTTACATTGTTTGGACTGTTGTCCTCATCTTTATTACGATTTTCACTATCAACATCTGTTTATATTTCTGGGATGAGGTATTGTAACTATTTACATTATTTCCATTGTTTGGACTGTTGTCCTCATCTTTATTGCCATATTCACCTTCAACTTCTGTCTATGTTTCTGGGATGAGGTATTGTAACTATTTACACTATTTACATTGTTCGGACTGTTGTCCTCATCTTTATTGCCATATTCACCTTCAACATCTGTCTATATTTCTGAAATGAGGTATTTTAACTATTTACACTATTTACAATGTTCAGAATGTTGTCCTCATCTTTATTGCCATATTCACCTTCAACATCTGTCTATGTTTCTGGGATGAGGTACTGTAACTATTTACACTATTTACAATGTTCGGACTGTTGTCCTCATCTTTATTGCCATATTCACCTTCAACATCTGTCTATATTTCGGAGATGAGGTATTGTAACTATTTACACTATTTCCATTGTTCGGACTGTTGTCCTCATCTTTATTGCCATATTCACAACCTTTCAGCTGTGGTACGCCTCCAGGCTTCTTTATGTGATATACATTGGAATTTCATATCAAACCCTTTATTTAATCCACAGTGGGTAGATTGTATACATGCCATGCCTTCAGTTTCAGTTAATAACCTTAGTAACTCAACTCGCCAAGTTTTTGTTCCCTCTGCTGTGTCCAGGTATTGAACTCGCAACTCTTTGATTCAAGTTACTTTTTGAATTACTCAACCTACACTTTTATCCACTGGGCCAGTTTCAATTCAGGTCAGGTTTGTCATATTCATTTATGCACAGATACTCTTGGGAAAGGTATGAATCCCTCTCTATAAGTTAATTAGTATTTAATCCATGTGTTACTGACAGAACAGGGCTATCAGATGTATAATTCTCTTGATTCTGTTCTTTTATTGTTTAATAATTTTTAACGTTTCTTTTTCAGAATGTAGTAGCTGTTGGATCTGGTATCACTGATGGCCTCAACATGGGTGACAACACTAAAGCTGCTGTACTTCGGCTAGGAATGATGGAGATGATTGAATTCATTGATATTTTCTTCAAAGGTGTCTTATTTTCACATTCAGTTATTACTGTAGACATAATGATCAAAGCAGTTAGCATTTGTGGATCCTTCTTTAAGCGACAGAGCAAAGGGATAAAACTCAGAGTTATCTGACAGCATCCTGTTTCATGTCTCAAGCAATTTAACACATTTTTTTTTTTTCATTTTTTTGTCCGATAGATCAATGAAAACCTCCACTAGTCTCGCTCTTTCTTGTATTTATCACTAATTCCAAACTTTCTATTTGGCTTATAGATTGGAAATGAGAAATTTATCCACTTCTCCATGTGACATAAAGTTAATTTAATTTGGGTGGCCTTATGTGTATGTGTTGCAGCATTCATCTAGGCAGTTGAGCTGGCTCTGTCAAACAAGCCTGCCATATCTGAATTAAATTTGACCAAGCCTAGCAGAGGTCACATTCATTCGGACATGCAAATTCATAGTAGGAGCTTTAATGGTAATTTGCTTTCACAAGTGGTCCCCAGCCACATGTATACACACTTTAGGACTATGTGATCTGGTTTGAATTCAGAGTTTCCTTCTCCTAGACTGGTTGCCATCCAAGGATATAAGACCCAGTCTTTCCTACTATCCTACCCATTGATGAGATGGATACATATCTTTCACAAGTACGTAAGTGAATGTAATGAACTTGACTGGAATTTGAACTCAGCTCTCCGATTTCTCAATCTGACCTACTAAACATTACTCTACCATACCTCCATATGTGTACACATGGACCAAAATTTCCCAGTCCGCATAACCACAGTCACACTGGTATCCATCAACCCTCCCTCTTCATTGCTGTAAGGTTGGGATCCATGGGACCAGGCTTCTCCATAGTTTAAAGAGGATAAATGATTCTGTGCTTTAGTCGCAGTGCAAACCCAATTGTAAATGAGAGGTCTATGAAACAGTTTATAAAACCTCATTTCCATACATATTTGATGCATTTTCATTTCAGGAAAAGTTTGTAGCATATTTAAGCATATATTAATTAAAGCAAATTATCAGTACAGCACAAAAATACAAAGCATTACTGTATATAAAAAGCAAGTGAGCAATACAGCTGAACATATATTATTTCTGGGGAAATGTTTCTCAAGAAACTTCTGCCCTAACTTAGTACTAGCCATTTAGTTAGGGGTGTATACCAAATGATTTTTCTGTTTCTATTTTTATTCTTACAATCACTGTTGTTACATTTTATATATTTGATGTCCGAGCATTTATAGCCACTATTTTTTAAGGCAGGGTTATAAAATTTACTATGTCTGCATTTACTATGTCACTGGAAGAGTTATTGCTAATCCTATTTTCTATGGAGGAGAGTATGTGTTTGATAATGGATGGAGGGTGATTAGAATTTGAATGGATATATATTGGATTTGAGTTTTTTCCACGTAGGGTTGGTATGTATTATTAACTAGGTCTTGTGTAACATCAAGGAAATCTACTTTTTTAAAATTTGTGTTAATCTTAACTGTAAGGTTCAGACTTTTAAATTCCCTATGTATTATTTTCCGGATTTTGTCAGCTTTAATTTTTGTAGAATTTTTTACTACCATAAGGCCACCATCTCTATATAACCCTATATCTTCAATGTTGATATTTTGATGGGCACTAAGCTTATATAAAATGAATAAACCAACAAGGTCAGAAGACTCAGCAGAGTCTAACAAATCCCATGGCAATATCAAATTGGTCAACCAAATTGTTCTCAAGCCACTGTTCTTTGTTATAAATAGGGACAAATCTCTTGGAGTTCATAATCATGTCCAGTTCCTTATTGGAAAGATCGGTGGTAAATTCCAAAGGCAAAGTTAAGAGATCACTGGAAATGGATGGGCAATAATCCACAATAACAAACTGGATCAGTGAACAATTAGTTTTATTGTTAATATAACTAAATCAATTGATGAGATCTGTTATATTAATCCATTGTACAAGTCCAAGGCACTTTCTAATCAGCTTGTTGACTATCAAGGATAATCTTACTAATTCTAACAATTTCTGGCCTGGTAGGGTTGATAAACCTGGTGGGAAGATTAACTTCAAAATCAGGTTTATGGTCCTTGATCGTGACATAGGATTCTTTAGTACAGAGTTTGCTAACTCTGATGCTGATTTTAAGTTTGTCAGTAATATTTTTACTAGTTTCATTAATTTTATCAACTAAATTAACAATATTATTGTTTACTTTTCTATATTTTTTTTCTAATTAAAGTAATGTAATCTTTAGGAATTAAGCACTTTTTAAAAAAGTAAATGCTACGAACTGTAGATTTTTACCCCTTTTGTTCTTTTATTTGGATACAATAATGGACTCTCCCGTCGGTTTCGACATATGAGGATCTGACCGCTTATTGATTCAGTTATAAAGGTTTGTGCGATAATCTTAAGTGGCATTTAAGACCTGCTATTGATTTACAAAGGAGGCCACATACGGAGCAAGTTAGAGGATTATGAGATGAGATCACTGTTAGATTGGCGGACCTTTTAGATCTTGCACTCACTTCTTGAATATGATTCAGACAAACAGACTGAAAATTGCTGAGTCCACTAAAACACGTTGATTCTACCCACTTCAAGGTTAAGCGCTCAAGGGTGTTATGTGGTACATTGACTGCTGACAAGTTGCTTTTCAGCTTGTCTTTGTATCTTAGCCATGGGTTTCCTACATTCCTGTAGCCCTGATCTAACTGGCTGTACATTAGGATCATGGGTATCCCGTCATCAGACATTCTCAAGACATGACAAGTCCACCGTAACTGAGACTGTATAAGAAAAGTCTTGATTCCTCCAATATTACACCTGTTAAACAGGTCTACATTAGATGTCCTATCTTGAAGGTTAACTCCACAGACTGCATGCAGACAGCTTTTATGAAAATTATTTCTTTTCTTTGGATATATATATATATATATATATATATATAAGTTTAACCAAATTGTAAGGTAAAAACTTTGTAATTTGATTATGCTTTTTCTTATATTTTAGTTGTACTGCATTGCACTATATATGGCTTATCTTTCTATTTGTAAGATTAATTTGGATTTAATATAATCTTGTATTAATCTCCTGGTAGTATTAGTAACATCTTGTATGGATGTATTGGTATTTGGTTGCTATTTTTGACATTTTAATTGATTGGTTAATGTTCTTAACATCTCATATGAAGGATCTTTATTTAACAGTTACATATTAATTTACCAAATAATTCTATATGTTTAGATTATCTACTAGCTTCTTAAAGAGGCCATTTATTTATCCACTGCCAAAAAATATTTATGTAGAAAATTCACAAAGCATATAACTTGTTTAGTATTTTGTTAAATTACCTCTCTACCGCCATTTTATTTCTTAGGAAACTGCATTGTCTGGTTTGTATATTTTATGTAACGATATGTATCCGCTTTTATGTCTGGCTGCCGTTAGCTACCAATCTATGGGTCATGACCCATTTAAGAAAAATGGCACAGTGGATAAAGGCGTTGGTTAGATCCAGTGACAGGACCCAAAGAGTGTGAGTTCAATACCCGGTTAAGGCAGTGGAGAACGTTCAGAGGGAAATTAACAGGAGATAACTGATAACTGACATCCATTAAACATGGCATGTGGAACTAGAACAGTCTACCCCAGTGCGAAATAAAGGGTTAAGTTCGACATTCCAACCACCTGGTTAAGGCGGGCGACACGGCCGAAACGTTTATAATAAATATGGCAACAAAAGATGAGGACAATAGTCTGAATAATGTAAATAATGTACATAATACCTCATCTCAGAAATATAGACAGATACTGAAATGCCGAAACGTTGTAATAAATATGGCGACAAAGATAGGGACAATAGTCTGAATAATGTAAATAATGGCATAATACCTCAAGAAATAGATGAATGCAGGGTTATTTAAAAATAAGAGGGGTACAAATAGAAAGGTTCACAGTTGACAAGGATTTCCATTTCATAAAGAAAGAAAGACAAATGACATCAATTCTTCAATAATGATTTAAATTTTTGATTGAATACATTCCTTGCCACTTTTACGACTAGAAAATACTCTTGAAGATTCCCTTATGGCATCATTAAATATTTGAGCTTAACGACTTTAACAAAACATTACAAAAACAATCATAAGTATGAATGCAGGTCATTATTTAAAGAAGTAAGAGGGTACAAATAATAAATAAAAAAACTGACAAGGTTTTCCATTTCACTGGAGCAGACACTTAGTCCTGACCAGGCATTTCACCATGATATGTTCTGGCTTCCCTCTGTCTTTTTTACAAATACTTTCATGGTAATTACTTCAATGAGCTTTTTTCCTGGTGCCCTGACTACATGAATTTAAGTGTGCTACTAGATTGGCAATTAGGTCCCATTGTTTTACTGTTGAAATAGCTAGATAAAAATCGCCACATCTATTCTAACAAGTTTTTCTTGCATTTCTTACCTGTGTAAAGCCCATTTCAATTTCTTGCTTCCCTGCTAAGTACAGTCTTCAAAAATTCAAATGCAATGTCAATCGCCATCTTCTGTGTTCCAGAACTCTATTCCTTTTCTCAATCCTCCTGATTTTCAGTCTTCTATTTATCTTTCACTCCCTATAACCCCCCCCCGTGTCCTAGTGGCTTTATTGCCTTTCTTGGTGCGAAATGATTAAAAAAAAGTGCCAGATAGCCATATTGCTTCTTGTATCTTCTTTCTTTCTTTCCTGATTCTAATGGCCATGTAATGTTAAAATGATGATTCTTGTACGATCACCAAAGTTAAGCAACATTGAGCCTGATCAGTACTTAGATGGGTGATTGCTTCGGAAGATCCGGTGTTGTAAGCTTGGATGTGCAGGTGGTGTAATGGATAATGGCTCAGAATTGGAAATCAGAGTGTCAAGTTCCAATTCCAGTTGGGTTTGTTATATTTACTTACGCACAAATGGGAAAGGTATACAACCATTTCTGCTCCTTCCGAGCCATGGATTCATTAGCAGAATTAATACATCAGAACAGTTTATCTTTGAAAAATGCTTACAATCTAGAAATATTTTCTGGCTTTAAATAATCTGCAACAGGTTGATAAGCTGTCAAAAACAAATCAATCTTTCTTTCCATCTTAATATTATTATGTATGCTTTCTTTTTCTCACTAAAATCAGCATCTCTGATATATTTTTTCTTATCTTTCCTTGTAATCAAAATGTAATGGTCCATTATTTATCTGAGGCAATGGCATAGCATAATGGATGTGTGAAGGGAGGCACATTCAAAATTATAATATGAGTATAATAATAATAATATTATTTGCGTAAATATTACCGAGTTAGACTAGGTAGTAGTGAGCATCTGAGTTAAAATTATAGTCATAGATAGTGAGTGTTGGAGATAAAATTAGTCTGATAGACGTCAGCTGTTCATATGTACAGGGCAATTTATTTTAATTTATTTGGAAAAAATAGTGCTTTATATGGCAACAAATGCAAGTATATTAACCACTGTTAATTCTTTTTATTTTAGGTGCCAAGTTGAGGACATTTTTTGAAAGTAGTGGTCTTGCAGATCTTGTGGCTACCTGTCATGGTGGGAGAAACAGGAAACTTGGTGAAGCTCTTGTAAAAACCAATAAGGTAATGGAAAAAAAACAATGCTTTTTATTTTTGTTCTTTGTATCATTATTATTCTAAAAAGACATGGCTGAATTCATTATGGCATCTACCCTGAATCTATTATCACATCTACCCTGAATTCATTACGGCATCTACCCTGAATTCATTACGGCATCTACCCTGAATCTATTATCACATCTACCCTGAATCCATCATCACATCTATTCTGAATACATCAGAAAAATTCTGGATGTGGGATTATTAAATACCAAAAACTTCAAATTGAGGCATGGATCAGCTATAACAAACTTAGTGTAGGAAATAAGGAAATTGAACAGAGAGTAGGCTGTGTTTTTTTTTTTTTTTTTTTATTATTACAGTAAGGTTCACCCTTTACAAGGCCCGGGGCCACTCATGGTAGAGTTAATTTGTGCATATAGTAATAAAAATAACAGTTAACCCTAGCCTTAAATAGGTTAAGATAGGTAGTGATCAGGGAAACATCCTCTTTGGAGTCGGTTCCACAGAGCAGTGGTTCACAGGAAGAAGCTGTTTGAGTAGAACTTTTTCTCACTGATGGAATACAGAAAGAATGTGGCTGGTTTGCTTCTATGTAAGTAGCATAGCATGCCCTTGCCATGAAGGCTTGAACTGGTGGGACCAGGGAATGTAGTTTATCCAAGATCTTTCTGTAGAAGTAGTCATAGAGAAGCAAAAAGCTTGCCATATCCCCACCTGTGGGAGAGAGGTTAGAGGATGGAGAATAATTTCTCACTCACAAGAACTTGGAGACACTTTTAGACTTTATCAAGCCTGGAGAGCGAGTTCTGAGCAGCTCCTGACCATATATGACAACTGTACTCTATTTTTGGTCTGATCTGGCCCTTGTAAAGGTAGAGGTACTTACTGGAGCAGCACAAGGAGCCAACCATTTTACCTGCACCTTAGCAATGGATTGTATGTACAAGTTCCACGTGAGGTCAGGTGTGAGTTTGAGACCCAACAATCTGTCAAGGCATGGTGCCTCTCTGAGGGGCACTCTGTTCATCCTGATTGGTAGTAATTTGGGGTCTGATCAGTGATGATTGAATATAACTAGTTTGGTCTTTGAGGCATTGAATGTAACCAGCCAGTTTTTACCCCACTGGGTAGTTTGTGTAATATTGGTAAAGAGATCAGTCACCAATCTCTGATCATCAAGAGTTTTAGAGGTGTACCCTTATAGTTGTATCTTCAGCATAGATGTTTACAAATGATCTGAGTATATTCTAATGCAGATCATTTATGTAGATCAAAATGCGGGTTGGTCCATGGAGTGATTCCTGGGGGGACACTTGCTTTGACCACTAGGGCTACGGAGGATTAGCCATTAATAACTACTTTCAGGTGGAAAATAGGAAGGATTTTATGTTCGAGAAGACTCTTTAAAGGTATGGTCCTTCATGGAAAAAGTCAACACAATTTAGAAGACAGAAGTGAAGAGGTGGAGTAATATCGAAAGGTAACCAGCCAGTTTTACCCCATTGGGTAGTTTGTGTAAAATTGGAAGAGAGATCAGTTGCCAATCTCAGATAATTGAGAGTTTTAGAGGTGAACCTGTATATCGTCGTATCATCGGCATAGATGTTTACAAATGATCTGAGTACATTCTAAGGTGGATCATTTATATAGATCAAAATGCAAGTTGGTCTGTAGAGTGACACCTGGGGGATACCTGCATCGGCTGCTATGGCTACGGAGGACTGGCTATTAATAACTAATTTCAGGGACCTACCTGTTAGGAGGGATTTTATGATCGAGAAGACTCTTCTATAAGATTTGGTGACTGCTCCTTTTGAAGTTGGTTTTTCTATAATTTCTAAGAAGTTTCTGGCAGTAATGATTGACAATTTTTGACCATTCTTCTTGGCAAAACTCCCACAGTTGCTCAATATTACCTGGGTTTCTTGCATGCACTGCCTTCTTTCACTTAACTCAGAGATTTTCGATTTGGGTTTAGATCAGGACTTTGACTAGACCGTTCCAAGACTTGATATTTCTTTTTACGAACCCGTTCTTTTGTGGATTTGCTTTGATGCTTCAGATCACTGTCCTGTTGGAAGTTCCAGACCCGACCTAAGTCCAGCTTTTTGAACTGAGGACAAGACAATTTCATTCAAAATTGCTTGCAGAGACAATTGTGCCATTAATGCATACTGTTTTGCCTGTTCCAGCTGCAGCAAAGCGCACCCAAATCATAATGCTGTCACCGCCATGTTTAATGGTTGGTATCAAATTTTTCTCTTCAAAAGCTGTATTAGGAGCTCGCCAGATATACCACCTATTGTTCCTGCCAAAAAGCTCTAGTTTGGTCGCATCCGACCATAAAACCCATTTTGCCAGAATGTTTCTAGCTTATTAATATGAGTTTGGGCGCTGTTGAGGCAAGCATGCTTGTGCTATTTCGTAAGTAGTGGCTTTTTCTAGGCATTCTGCTATGAAGATCAGCATTGTTTTGTCACATTGTAAATGTATGTACGTTGATTCTGACATTGGCCAATGAGCATTGGAGAACTGCAGGATTTGTCTGGGCTTGCTGAACTAGATTTCTACTTGCTCTTGCTGTTATTTTTTGTGGACAACCACTTCTTGGTTGTGTTGGCGTTATACTAAAGGCCTTCCATTTATAAAGAATTTGTTGTACAGTGAAGAAGTGCACTTCAAATCATTTTGCTAGCTTTCTGTAGCCTTCTCCATCATTATAGGTTTGAACTATACAATTTTTTAAAGCTTCAGTATGTTCTTTTTGTCCAACAATCACGTGGTCAAGATAAACACTCAGTTGTGGAGCAAGCTGAGTGAATACTAATTCAACATTGAGAAAGAGAGCTATTTATGGTGCAATGGAGCATCTCATTATGCTAAAGTGGGATAGTCCATTGCTTGGGCTGTGATTGGCTGCTGGTACCTGAGTGGAAGTATTTCTATATAAATACTAGCATGATTTCTCAGTTAGTTTGCAGGGTTTGTATTAAGTTACAACCTGCTTTTTTTTTGTCTGCCAGCTGGACGCTAGCTGGGACTCTTACGCCGGTAAGTGTTGTTTATTGTATTGTTATTCTACATCTCCTTTCCCCCCATCGCATGTGGGTAGTGGCCTTTGGGGAGGGATTTGTTCCTTTAAACCTGGCTGGTCGTGTGAAAGTAGTCTGGACAATGCCCGAGGAGTTTTTGTCCGTGTTATTGTAGACGGCTGAGCAGTGTTTGATGTTATTCCAGCATCGAATGTTTGTGGCACTGGTGTAGGGGTCTCAGGTAATGCACTAGGTCTTGGAACTGGAATTGTTGGTGTATCCAGTTTCCTGAGAAATCGGCGGTTTCGTAAGTTAATTCTACCTGATTCGTCAACTCTGATACGGTATTGGTGGTTGGGGAGGGTTTCAATGACCTGACCTGTTGTGTCCCATCGACGGGTTGTTGGTCTTTGTAGTGCCACTATTTGTCCTTTTTGAAGGGGGTTTAAGGTGTGTGCTGTTCTGTTGTATCGCTCTATGAGACGAGCGTTCCGCTGGGACAGACTTATCTCACGATTTTGGGCTGCGGTTATCCAATTCGCGTGTGGCTTATAGAGTGTGGGGTGGGATGGTATATAGTCACGTAGTCGGCAGTGGAGTAGTAGTTGAGCAGGGGATAGCCCAATGTTTTGAATAGGCGTATTCCTGTATTGGAGGATGGCTCTTGCTGCACGGTTATTATCCAACGATCCTTGGGCTCCTGTGTTGCCATTTATGATTCTCTTGGCTGTTTTGACAGCGAGCTCTGCTCGACCATTGGATTGTGGGTAACCAGCAGATGATAACCTTTGTTTAACAGCCCAGTCTTGCAAAAATTGCTTGAATGGAAGAGATGTGAAGGGTGGCCCACCATCACTGCTGAGTTCCTCAGGAGCGCCATAGGTTTGAAATATGTCTCGGCAAATCGAAATAATCCTTGAGGCATTAGCTTCTCCATGGCTCAAGTGGTATAGATTCAGCCAGCCTGTTAACCTGTCAGCGCATGCTAAGTAACCATGGTTCCCAACATGGAAGATGTCCATGATGATTTGCTGAAATGGCCAATCAGGAGATGGTGTCAAATTGATTGGCTCTTTTGGTTGACTCGGGGCAATTTTTGAGCAGAACGTACAACCTGCTCTAATGTTATGAATTGAAGCATTCATCCTGGGCCAATAAACAGATTCATTGGCACGTGCCTTCATGCCAACTTCGCCTTGGTGTGCAGAATGTAGGCTATGTAATATTTTTTATGCGTTAGAGGTGGGGATAACGATTCTTTGATCTAAGAGCACTAACCCGTCGTCAACACTTAGGCGGTGCCTCACTTCCCAGTATTCGAGGATTTCAGGTGCAGTGAGGATGACATACAAGTGTAAAGCCTCCCACAGCTCGGATGACTTTTCTTGATGGAATGAGGTTGTTGATAGTGAGCCCCATATTCAGAAGGTGCTTAAGTCCCCCGAGACATATGGTGGCCCCACTGTCAGGAAAGAGTGTCATCCTAGTGCTGTGATTTCTGGGGATATTCTTAATTTGTCTGGGATCCAGTTTTGGCGAGAATGGAACAACATATGCATCAATTTCCCTTACCTGGCCTGTGTCTTTAGATGTATACGTGCCTGTTGTTTGATTGAATGTGATGTGGGCGATAAGTGTGTCCATGGCGGCTTCATTAGCCTCTGGGCTTTTCCTGACCGCTTGAGCCAGTTTCTTAGTCCGGCATACCCTCGATAGGTGATTGGGCTTCCCACAATTACTACATGTTTTTCCCCATGCTGGGCATTTTAGCCGGCGTGATCCAGTTCCTGAGGTGCCATGCTGGTGGCTGCCACAACCTAAGCAAGCCTGGTGGTTTGGTTTAACATTGCAGCTGCAATAGGTGCTGGTACGGATTGCCTCGTTGGCTTATGGTTTACCCTTCTGTCTGCGGTATGTTGATAGTCGAGCAGCAGTTGTCTCTGAAGCGCTGGCCATTGAGGTTTGGTC